TATTTATTTATTTAGGCTGTGCTGGGTCTTAGTTGCAGCATGCAGGCTTCTTAGTTGTGGCATGTGGACTCTTAGTTGTGGCATGTGGGACCTAGTTCCCTGACCAGAGATTGAACCCAGGCTCCCTGCATTGGGAGCACGGAGTCTTACCCAGTGGTCCACCAGGGAGGCTCTGTGCCTGGCAAGTTAGAAAAACTCAATAAATAGCAGCTTTTATAATACAAGTGTTCTCTGTATTTGGACCAGTACTAGTTAAATGATGTCACTGTGTGCTTCTAATTATAGGATGATAATTCCACAGACTCTAGAGCTACTTATTAAAAATATTCAAGTAAAATAACGTGAATATTGAGTATGTGTGCACATGTGCGTGTGTATTCTACAATCTGGTCACAGCTTCTGATTCTGGGAAGAAAAGACAGTGATTTAAGAAAGAGGGTGATATATATATATATGTATATGGCTCTGTGTACTTTCACAAGTGCACTAACTTCTCTGAGTTTCAATTGCTACATCTGTGAAATAGGGATAATAATTCCAGTTTCATAGGGTTGTTAACAGAATTAAATGGGATAATGCATCTGAAACACTTCACTGAGTGCCTAGCATATATTACATGCTCAGTAACTGTTAAGCATTATTATTACAACTGTGCCAGATTATTTGAGGTTCTTTAAACTTACCCTTTTTCCTCAAGGGCTGGAGTTCCATTCCTCCCACTAGGATCTGTGTCTTGCCCCTTTTCAAGTTTCTACCTGTGATGAATCAAAGGTCAAGTTTTGCGTCATCTAGAAGGGATTTCTTCTTCTCTGACACACTATGATAATTTGTACTGCTCACATCTTATCTACCCCTTTATTTAGCTTATATCCCCTTAGAGTTTCTAATTTCCTTGTGGTCAGGGAATGTCTCAAACATTTTGACATTGCCCCCAGGAGCTTGCATAGTGCTGCAGTTCACAGAGTAGGTGCCCCATACAAATTCAGTGGATGATTATTCACTCATGCATAAAGGCAAGCAGGCACTGAATAAATATTGCTTGAATAAAGGCCTGTATTAATTAAAAACAAAACAAAACACGTGTTTTTGGCACAATGGTGAGGCCCAACCATAGTGGATTTGTCCATAAACTGGGTTTGTCTCACAGGGGCCCTTCATTGTCCTTGAAAAACAATTGACCCAACTCTCTACATTGTGAATTGATATGGCACATGCTTGATAGAGAGATATGCATTGGAAAATCAACAATGTTTGAGGGGCTTTATTCCAGCCTGTCAAATGCATGTGGAAGGAGGACAGTTGCAGTCTTGGGAAAGGAAAAAAAAAACATAGCCATGTAACAAAGGATGACCATATGACATTGAGTCAAGGATTATAATGAAAGAAAATGTGATCACTTAATTGATCAATTCTGACGTGGAGAGGGAAGGCCAGGCACTTCCTCTGGCAAAGAAAGCTATGATGCCTAAAAATTGTCCCTTTGCTAGCAAAAATATCACGTACTTTTAATGGTTATTATAAGCTTTTCAAGTCCTTGTAGAAGTGTTCTTGACTGACACAGGTTTCACAATTCCAACAAATTCTTCCTCTGATTTTGATTGGGGCAATCCCCAGTTAGCAGGTCAGATAGTGAGGCTGGATGTGATACCACGCTCCCCTAAGCCTGTGGATCTACTCTGTAACATCACAAGGAGCGTCTACATCTTTCACTTTTTATTTATTTATTTATTTTGCTAGGTTTGCTCTGTGAGAGGATACAGGAAAAGTACATGGGCCTTGGAGCTTACCAGACTTGATTTAGAATCTTAGCATCTCCACTTACTAGCTAGATATTAATGAGTTTGGGCTTTTCTTATCTTGAAGCTGAGGATAACAGTGTTATCAACTTATTTGAACTTCTATGTCGTTGTCAGTATTATCATTACCATAATCATTATCATTCTCATCACAGTGGCTAACATTTAGTGACCACCTAGTATGTATCAAGATTTGCTCTAAGTGCTTTATATGGATTAGTGCATTTAACGCTTTCCACACATATTAATAAGGTATATTATTATCCCCATTTAAAACATCTAGTGTAATGCCAGACATATAGGTACATGAATGTTATTATTTAATAAGAGTTGTTATCTTTTAGACTAAGTATGGTCTAAAGAGTGTTGGTTTAAAATTCTGTTTCAAAGGAAAAACATTCTAGAATGTTATCACCAAAAGGAATTAAACTTGGAGTTGATATAGTTCAGTGTTTTCTATATTTTTTAAAGCCAGAAACTGTTGTTCACATGATCACTATATCAAAAATATAAAAGCAAAACTATTCTCTTTGAGTCAGGGGTGGGGGACTTGAGCCCTATCTGGCAACTCATCTGTGCCCAGGAATCTGAGGAACAGTGTGAAAATCACTGATGTTGTCCTTTCCTGGTAACGTACCTAGACAGGCAAAGCGATTTATTTTGTTTATTGGTATAGACCCTGAATTATAAATTAGATCTCCTCTCCAAGAACAGTTGTTTTTTATGAGACTGCAATATGTGATGTAGCAGTACAATTATTATTTGCTAAAATGTACTGAGTTAAAGATGATAAAGCACCTTCATATACCTTGTTATATTTGAACTTCACAATTCCTGTGGTGGGCATAGCCTGTTACTTCTTGTTCACCTAAAAATGATGCGTAACATAAATTTTTGGGGGGGGTCGGGAGGAAATTGGTGCAGCTGGTAATGGAAGTAGGAGAAAAAAATATCAGAGACCAGAAATGTTGGAAAAGGGTGATTCTTTTGAGATAAGTTAACACACTGGAGTTGGCATTTGCCCAGAGGGTAGAATGGTAGAATCTGGCTTCTAATGGACACTGTTTAAGTAGACAGGAGACAAAGCCTGGGGCTGGTGTGAGAGGCATAAATCAAGAACCTTGAAGGGTAAATCCTCAGAGGGTGACTAGGAAAAATCCACTTTGCAAGAGAAGACTTGCCTAGAAGTCTGGACTCTAGATAGCGAGTATGGCCGAGAAAAGTTTGCATTCCTGAAAGCTTAGGACCTAAATTTATTCTACCCGTGTGGCTCAATCCTTATGCCCCAAGGCAAAATGTAATTTAAAGTGATTGTGGGTTGATAGTTCCCTCAGGCACCTGACAAAAGCAAACACAGATGCTCTCTGAAGAAGTACAATTTTACAGCCCAAACCTCAAATAATTTCCACAGATTAAATCCTAAAAAATATGAGCTCACAAATAAAAGACTCACTCAAAACAGAAGAAAATAAGTCCTTATGCATGATACTCAGCAAAACAAACTGTAAAATCAGATGCTGACTTTACTTTAATAAAGTCGGAAGAGTGAAGATGCTGGAGTTATCTGTATAAAATATGTCTAATATGTTTTTAAAAAAGGAAATTAAAAGATGAAAGAGTAAGAGACCACAAATTTGATCAAGGAGACTGAAAAAGAAAGAAATTGAATTCTAGAAAATAAAATTGTAAGTAAAATAAAAATGATATGGATGACTGAAACAGAACATGACACTACTTGAGAGAATTAATAAGCCAAAAGATACATCCAAAGTTAAACAGAATTCAGCATAGAAAAAAGCAAGGGGAATATTAAAGTAAGTCTAAGAAACATGGAGAAGAGCTTGAGAAGGAAGGAATAATATTTATCTAATTCGAATTCCAGAAAGAGAGAATAGATAAAATGGTGAAAAGAGAATGTTTGAAGAGACAATACCTGATAATTTTGCAAATTGATAAAAGATTTAATCTTTAGATTCAAGAATCCCAAGGAATACTAGGAAGAATAAATAAAAATAAATTCACACCTAAATACCTTAAAGTTAATGGATACAAACAAACCCTCTTCCCCATCAAGCAAACAACCAAATAAAATAGATCTTAAAAGCCACAGAGAAAGTGTTTGTCACATACTAAGAAATGATGATTAGGTTAACAACTGACTTCTCAACAGTGATAATAGAAGCCAGAAAACAATGGAATATCTTCAAAATGTTGAGGCAAAATAACTCTATATCCAAAAAAGCTATTTTTCAAATAGGAGGGTGGTCAAAGGACATATTTAGATAAATTGAAATTGAGCACAGTTACTATCAAAATATCTTCATTAAAGGAACTTATAAAGGATACATTAAGAAAAATAACTATCCTAGAAAGAATGTCTGAGATTCAAGAAGACTTTTGGGCAAAGAAATGTTAAACATGTGGTTAAAAAAGTATGCCTCAGGAAGCATGTTCAAGAACATTTCTTGCAGCATTGTTTGTAATTCCAAACCTGCAAATAACTCAAATGTCAATGTGTAGTATAATGGATAAATTTTGGAATATTCATGCTATGGAATATTATACACAATTGACAAATAAATGAAAGATAGCTATAGACATTAACATGGATGAATAGAAAAAAAACACCACGGAAGATATTACAGTATGATTTCACATGTGAAGTTCAAAATGGGCAAAACTAAATAATCTATAATTTAGAAATACATACCTATGTATGGTAAAACTATAAAAATATGTGAGGGAGTGATTAACACAAAAATTAAGAGAGTTGTCTGATGGCTGGGAGGAGGATTCATTGGGGACCTGTAATAAAGGGGTACTGATAATATTGTTCATTTTATTTATATATTCATATATATTCATTTTATATATCTCTTATGTATCATAAATTTTGCAATAAATTATAGAAAGACAGGTCATATAAGAAGGCAGTAGAAAGAAGATTCAGGATCAACATGGATAAAAGCCTTCAAGAAGGAACAACTTTAGCAAGTTTGTTTATTAGGGGGAAAAAATGTGAAGCATGGGATAGTCCAAAGTTTCCTAGTCCTACCCTTCTACCCCCTTGCCAGCTGACCTTTGCATATTGCCAAGGCGTGTTCTCATGTATGCTGACATATAATAAAAATGTCTCATGCTTTATTATTTGGAAGTCTTTTATTCTTTTCTTTCCTGATGTAAAATTTTATTTGCTTCTTCTAGGTCATAACTTTTGTGCTGAAGGACCTAAATGTGGTGAAAACTCAGAGTGCAAAAACTGGAATACCAAAGCTACTTGTGAGTGTAAGAATGGTTACATCTCTGTCCAGGGAGACTCTGCCTACTGTGAAGGTAGGTGAACTATTTAATAAAGTCAACTTGTGAGAAATATATTCCTGGTGGATGTGGTTGAAGAATGAAAGCCTTCACTTGGTTCTGGTCCTATGGGATCCTATAAAAGATTATACCAACAATCTAGGATATTCTCTTCTTCTGACTTATCCAGGCTGCTTAGTAGCATGTGAAAGCAAGACCTTTCAATCACCAGCAAAACCATAAACACCTCATTTTATGTTGTCTTATTTGGGTATATTGTCTTCTTCAATTTCAGTTGAATGTTACATGGTGGATCCTCTTTTTGAATGGATGCTTTGATACTATAGCTTATACCCAATTGCCATCATCTTCACCTGCCAAGGGCAGAGTTTTTTTTCAATTGTGTTTCCTAATGACTGATTCATGTGTTGCTAATTCCCAGACTCTACTAAAAGTCCCAGTGACAGATGGACTCATAACTTTGGCACATGGATTGGTATAGTACATTGGTGGCCTCAAGCATCAGTGACCCCCTTTTCTACTTTATAGAGCAGAGCAACTCCTCTGTCTTATGTGAGCCCCTCTTTCCATGCTCAGCACGCTGGGGGCAAGCATTGCATACTCCTGTTCCTTTAATATACCAGAGGATCAGGGATTAATTCTCACCCTGGATTTACATGTACAGTGCCCTCAAATCTGAGCCCATCCATTTCTCCAGTGCTCACTGGCTCTCTCCCATCAGTTTAGAGAAATTCTTATAGGCAAAGTGATGGTTAGGCTGTTTTTCCATCCTGGTTGGACCTAATTATTCTTGTCGTCTTTACTAGTATATTGAACCTTGGTGTTCAGTTCATTAGGAAGGTAGATGTCTTGACTGGAATAAATGCTGCAGAATCTTGGTCACTCTCCTACTGATTTGGCTCTAAAGTGGGTCAGGTATTGTCAAGGTAAAGACACTTGATGACAATAATGGTAAATTCCTTTCCATCTTCTGTTTTATGTTGTTGACCCCTGCTTAACTTTTTGGCTTTGACTAAAGACCTGTTCAGTTGTTAAGGAAATGTTTCTAATTACTGTTAGTGTTCAGAACCTGGTAGGAAGCCTCTGTTTTTCATTTCTTCTGGAAGACTTTATTACTGCTTTGGTTCTCATTAGCAATATAAGTCTAACTAATAGTTAACCACCGACACACACACTTTTTTCTACACTTTTTTTTCCTTTTGCTTACCTGTATAGATTTGAACTTGATTTGGGAGACATGCCACTTGGGAGGGTGAAGTTGCCCTTTAGTTATGAACCTTTTCATCTATCCATTAACATCATGTTACTTATTTGTCAATTTTGAGGAGGAGGACTATTAATTTCAATACTTCACATTAACATTTATTTTTTATATCTTACCTTATGCTATTTTGTATTTTTTGTCAAAATTACTGTAATTTTAAAAATAAAAAATGTGAACATTTTCCTCTCCATTTATCATGAAAAAATCCCACAAGCCAGGTAATGGTCTAAAAAATTTGTTTTCTTACCTTCTGCTATATGTGGGGAGAGACTATGAACAATTATAAAAATGATAGAAGGAACCTCAAAATAATTTGAATCTTGATTCTACCATTGGCAGGTATTTTAGTTGTCTACTGGAAGCAGTACACTCACCATTCCTGGCTCCCATTAGCTATTGAGACCTGGCAGAACCTGGGAGGAAATTGCTGGTACAAATGCTGTTTGGGGACTCTTTGATTCTCTCCTCATTTTTTGTTACATAGAATCAATCTTATGAGGTACCATTTGTGGTATTATGCCTACCCTTTGTGTGTGAGGCCTTATTTTGTTGATTATGTTGAGCGATTTTAGGTCTGAATCCCTGTTTCCTTGAACATGCTTCTCAACTCGTTGTGTGCGCGGGGCCTTGGGTCAGTGTATACTGTGGTACCACCTTGAGTCATGGTAATGTCCTCGGGCTTTAGTCATTTTTTTGTGACTATGGGGACATTCCGCAATTCCAGAGGGCATGTTCATAATGAGAAGGATAGCAATTAAGGAGAAATGACTAAACATTAGAGCCCATTTACAGTCTAAGAATAGAACTCCGGGACTAAATCAGGGGTCAAATACTGGGCATCTGGATGGGAGGCACTGAGAACCAAGTAAAGCGAATATCAACATTTAGAGCAAACGCCACCCTCTCTTTTCATTCAGCCATCTTCAGCACACTTGGGCTTTGGGCTTATTTTCCTGTGGTTGCGTGGTGGCTGTCATAGTCCCAGACATGGTGTCCTCATAACAGCATCCCAAAGAAGGAAGGAAGGGTCAGGGGTTAAAAATCTTCTCTGTGTGAGGTTTTATGGTTGTTTTTTTGTGTGTGTGTGATGATCATATGGTTTTTATTCTTCAATTTGTTAATATGGTGCCTGACATTGATTGATTTGCATATATTGAAGAATCCTTGCATCCCTGGGATAAATTCCACTTGATGATGGTGTATGATCCTTTTAATGTGTTTTTGGATTCTGTTTGCTAGTATTTTGTTGAGGATTTTTGCATCTATATTCATCAGTGATATTGGTTTGTAATTTTCTTTTTTTGTAGGATCTTTGTCTGCTTTTGGTATCAGGGTGATGGTGGCCTTGTAGAATGAGTTTGGGAGTGTTCCTTCCACTGCAATTTTTGGAAGAGTTAGAGAAGGATGTGTGTTAGCTCTTCTCTCAATGTTTGATAGAATTCGCCTGTGAAGCCATCTGGTCCTGGACTTTTGTTTGTTGGAATAATTTTAATCACAGTTTCAATTTCATTACTTGTGATTGGTCTGTTCATATTTTCTATTTTTTCCTGGTTCAGTCTTGGAAGGTTATACCTTTCTAAGAATTTGTCCATTTCTTCCAGGTTGTCCATTTTATTGGCATAGAGTTGCTTGTAGTAGTCTCTTAGGATGCTTTCTATTTCTGTGGTGACTGTTTAACTTCTCCTTTTTCATTTCTAATTTTATTGATTTGAGTCCTCTCCCTCTTTTTCTTGATGAGTCTGGCTAATGATTTATCAATTTTGTTTACCTTCTCAAAGAACCAGCTTTTAGTTTTATTGATCTTTGCTATTGTTTTCTTTGTTTCTATTTCATTTATTTCTGCTCTGATCTTTATGATTTCTTTCCTTCCGCTAACTTTGGGTTTTGTTTGTTCTTTCTCTAGTTCATTTAGGTGTAAGGTTAGATTGTTTATTTGAAATGTTTCTTGTTTCTTGAGGTAGGCTTGTATAGCTATAAACTTCCCTCTTAGAATTGCTTTTGCTGCATCCCATAGGTTTGGATCATCGTGTTTTCATTGTCATTTGCCTCTGGGTATTTTTTGATTTCCTCTTTTATTTCTTCAGAGATCTCTTGGTTATTTAGTAATGTATCGTTTAGCCTCCATGTGTTTGTTTTTTCCCCTGTAATTCATTTCTTTTTTTTTTTTTTTTTTTGGGGTAGGCGGTCCCCTCACTGTTGTGGCCTCTCCTGCCACGGAGCACAGGCTCCGGATGCGCAGTCTCAGTGGCCATGGCTCACGGGTCCAGCCACTCCGCGGCATGTGGGATCTTCCCGGACCAGGGCACGAACCTGTGCCCCCTGCATCGGCAGGCAGAACCCCAACCACTGTGCCACCAGGGAAGCCCCCCCTGTAATTTATTTCTAATCTCATAGTGTTGTGGTTAGAAAAGATGCTTGATATGATTTCAGTTTTCTTAAATATACTGAGGCTTGATTTGTACCCAAGATGTGATCTATCCTGGAGAATGTTCCGTGTGCATTTGAGAAGAAAGTGTGATCTGCTGTTTTTGAATGGAATGTCCTATAAATATCAATGAAATCTATCTGGCCTATTGTGTCATTTAAAGCTTGTGTTTCCTTATTAATTTTCTGTCTGGATGATCTGTCCATTGGTGTAAGTGAGGTGTTAGAATCTCCCACTATTACTGTGTTACTGTCAGTTTCCTCTTTTATACCTGTTAGCATTTGCGTTATGTATTGAGGTGTTCCTATGTTGGGTGCATATATATTTATAATTGTTATATATCTTGTTCTTGGATTGATCCCTCCATCATCTTTCTTTTAAAGTCTATTTTGTGTGATATGAGTCTTGCTATTCCAGCTTTCTTTTGATTTGCATTTGCATGGAATATCTTTTTCCATCCCCTCACTTTCAGTGTGTATGTATCCCTAGGTCTGAATTGGGTATCTTTTAGACAGAATGTATATGGGTCTTATTTTTGTATCCATTCAGCGAGCCTGTGTCTTCTGCTTGGAGCATTTAATCCATTTACATTTAATGTAATTATCAATATGTATGTTCCTATTACCATTTTCTTAATTGTTTTGTGTTTGTTTTTGTAGGTCCTTTTCTTCTCTTGTATTTCCCACTTAGAGAAGTACCTTTAGCATTTGTTGTAGAGCTGGTTTGGTGGTGCTGAATTCTCTTAGCTTTTGCTTGTCTGTAAAGTTTTTGATATCTCTGTTGAATCTGAATGAGAGCCATGCCGGGTAGAGTAATCTTGGCTGTAGGTTCTTCCCTTTCATCACTTTAAATATATCATGCCACTCCTTTCTGGCTTGTAGAATTTCTGCTGAGAAATCAGCCGTTAACCTTATGGGAGCTCCCTTGTATGTTATTTGTCGTTTTTCCCTTGTTGCTTTTAATAATTTTTCTTTGTCTTTAATTTTTGCCAGTTTGATTATTCTGTGTCTCAGTGTGTTTTTCCTTGGGTTTATCCTGCCTGGGACTCTCTGCACTTCTTGGACTTGGGTGGCTATTTCCTTTCCCATGTTAGGGAAGCTTTTGACTATAATCTCTTCAAATATTTTCTCAGGACATTTCTTTCTCTCTTCTCCTTCTGGGACCCCTATAATGTGAATGTTGTTGTGTTTAATGTTGTCCCAGGGGTGTCTTAGGCTGTCTTCATTTCTTTTCATTCTTTTTTCTCTATTCTGTTCTGTAGCCGTGACTTCCACCATTCTGTCTTCCAGGTCACTTATCTGTTCTTCTGCCTCAGTTATTCTGCTA